AAAAACTGGGCAGTGAAGGACAACCCAGGGTGGTTGCAGCCCTAGAGAAGGATTTTAGACTTTGATAGGATAGCAGCCAGTCCAAAAGTTACTTTACAGGACTTCAATGGCATTCTGCTGCCCACCTGAGGTTTCTAGCTACCCCACACTTGACCCCAATAACTACCTGTCCCCTGGGCTTCTATAGATATAGGGGTTTAACACATTCATCAGGTGCGATTTGGCCAATTTCTCCCAAGACAAAAATCCCAAGTGTTGAATTCAAACAAAGCAGAAGTAGCTATATTTCTCTAGTCGTTAGTGTACCTTCACAAACTTGTCAAGTCCACTCTGTCTAACACCTGCCAAATCTCTGTTCTTTATTAGTGCAATTAGCTCAGTCTCAGGGTATAAAAAGGCTGGGTTTCAAATCTGGTCTTAGGCCAGTAGTTTCCAAGACTTTCTGTTGTTGTTTTTGCCTCCCAGAGAGCTAGGATCACAGACACGAGCTGTTGTGTCTGCTTTATTCTTTTTGCCTAGAATGATCCTCTCCAGACATCCAAAGACTCACTTTGTTCAGATCTTTGCTTAAACGTTCCTCCTCAGAGAAGTATCTCCTGATTTCTGTATATATAGGACAGCTATACACATTGCACTCTGGGAGGCCGATTTGGGAGGATTGCTTAGGCTCAGAAGTTTGAGACCAGTCTGAGCAAAGTCAGATCCCATCTCTACTAAAAATAGATAAATTAGCTGGGCATCATGAAAGGTACCTATAGTCCCAGCTACTCTCGAGGCCAAGGGAGGAGGACCATGTAAACCCAGGAGTTTGAGGTTGCAGTGAGCTAGGCTCAGGTCGTGGCATTCTAGCCTGGGGCAATAGAGTGAGACTCTGTCTCAAAAAAAAGAAAAGAAAAGAAAAAAGAAACAGATAGCTACACCCTCCCCCACTCTGAAGTATTAGTGACTCTCCTTTTATCTGATTAACTTTACCCATAACTCCCTGCCTGGTGTGTGTTCCTTCTCCTCCCTCCATGTATAAAGCTCCATTAGAACAGACTACAGTGTTTCCCCCAAAATAAGACCTACCCCCAAAATAAGCCTTAGCAGGATTTCTATGCATTTGTTAAATGTAAGCCCTACCCTGATAATAAGACCTAGTGATGGGCATGGCTATGCAGCATATCTACATAGCCATGCCATGCATTTTGGCACAGAGCGGTAGGGAAGACTGGAATACCTTTTATCTTCCATAGCTCCTTTCTCCCAGCCGTTTGCACTTGCAGGGGTGCATGTGTGGTAACCGCCGTGGCAGGCACCCTATTGCACACATGTGAACAGCTAGGGGAAAGGAGTTCACACATCACTAGTGCCAGCCCCACCAACAAGATCAGCTCCCCCTGTCAGGTTCCAGAAGATGATGACGTAACTGTATTTGAATAAATGTAGATTGTTGTGTTATACTTAATAAAAATAAGACATCCCCTGAAAATAAGCCCTAGTGTATGTGAAAAAATAAATATAAGACAGTGTCTTATTTGGGGGGAAACACGGTATGCAGTGTCATTGTGTAAACATCTAAAAATGGTGCCTGGCATAAAGAGATTCATTTGAGAAAATGCAAAAGATGGTCCTTCTCTGAAATGCCCCTTCATGTATTTATCCTCAGGAAGGATGGAGCAGGGTGGATAGAGAAAAGAATTCAACTTGGGTTTCAAGAACTAAATTAAATGTCTTAATCAAGTTGGACACTACTGTTTCAAACTGTTCAGAATAACTTACCTGGAGAATATAAGCGATGATATCAAGGATGATGAGAACAATTTTAACATCTGGGACAATGAGCAGATTTATCAGTGGCTCTAAGACTCCAGAGTGGACAAGCTGGATCAACTGGTCCATGTTTGCCCCAGTTGTGAAGTTAGCCACCGTCCAAACAGCCTCTTTCTGGACTTTAAATTCTCCCTGTATAACGAGAACATTTATATTCTCTACAGATCCTGGAAAGCCTAAATATAGTGATGCCAACTTGATTCACTTTCTAGGGAGGCTGGTGACAGCCAGGACCATATATGCAATTTACAACAAATGCCTTGGCTACCTGCTTCTAGTTCCTGATCAGAAGATGGCATCTTTGAGAAGCCAAGAAGTAGGAAGACAGGCTCCAATGGGGTCTAGAGGGAGGTTCTAAGATTAGTTAGAATAATTTCTCTATGTTAGGCTATGGGAAAAAAATAGAACATAAACCAGTCCAGGTAATCAACATGGACTAGGAATTATGGTCAGTGTTTTAGATGGCAGTGGCCTGTGCCAACATTTCTAGTCTTTCTGACACACTAAAATTTTGGATAAGAAGATATAAGGCTGGGACACAGATATGATTTAGGGCTGTGGTCCCCAACCCCCAGGCTTTTGACAGGTACTAATCTGTGGCCTATTCAGAACTGGGCTGCACAGTAGAAGGTGAGTGGCAGATGAATGGACGAAGCTTTATCTGTATTTACAGCTGCTCTCCATCACTCTCATCACCACCTGAGCGCTGCCTCCTGTCACATTAACAGTGGCATTAGAAGGTGGCGCCTGTGGCTCAGTGAGTTGGGTGCTGGCCCCATTATACTGCAGGTGGTGGGTTTGAACCTGGCCCTGGCCAAACTGCAACAAAAAAATAGCCGGATGTTGTGGCAGGTGCCTTTCGTCCCAGCTACTTGGGAGGCTGAGGCAAGAGAATCACCTAAGCCCAAGAGCTGGAAGTTGCCATGAGCTGCAATGCCACAGCACTCTACTGAGGGCAACAAAGTGAGACTCTGTCTCTAAAAAAAAAATTAATTAAAAAAAAATCAGTGGCATTAGATTCTACAACTGTGAATTGAACATGTGGGCTTCCTATGAGAATCTTATGCCCCCACCGCCCATCAGTGGCACAACTGTCTTCTGCAAAACTGGTCCCTGGTGCCAAAGTTTTGGGACTGTTAATCTAGGGGACTGAGCCAGTCCAGAGGTGACAGAAACAGACATTGAAGTATCACACAATGAATCCTTTGCATTTATAAAGGGCACTTGGCCCAGAGATATGGGAGTGACTTACGAATCTATGAATCCTTCCATCTCGGGGCAAGGCTTATTCCCGTTTCATGGTTGGGGAAAATTATGACTTCAGTGTTAAAAACTAAAAATAAAACTTAAAGACTCCCAGCAAGTTATAGTTCAAAAGGTACAGTTTGAAATATGAATATTCTTTGATTCCTAACTGCATGTTTCTCATTAGAATATACACACAGAAAAAAAAAAAGAATATACACACAGACTCGGAGTAGAATGCAGGATAGGAAGTTCCAAATAGGTCAGAAGATGCCATATCTGTTCCCCACATTACTCCACCTGTCTCCCCAGCCTCAGTCTGAGGTAACTACTCCTGATTGTGGATGGTTTAAACAGCTTATTCAGTAAAGGGTGGTGAAAGGAAACGCTGGTGGTAGTGACTGCTCCTAGGAAGCAGGGTGGGAGTCAGGAGGAAGACGAAAGCTTTAATATATTCCTGCTTTTATATTTGGATTTTCTGTTTATGTCACCACTTCAATCAATTAATATACAGTAAAGGCTGCTTTTCTTTAGTGCATGACATTACCATAGCCACCTAACACAAAACTTCCACCGTCTTTCAGCAGGTTGTGAATAGATGGCACATTCTTTGAACACCACTTAGAAATGAGCCCATATTACTAGCTCCAGAGTTTTCTGGATGTCTGAGCCATGGAAGTCTCCTTTTCATTGAACAATCCGGTTTAATGGGTCCTTCAGAATGAAATGTCCCTTCTTCCAGGCAGAGCTAGGAATCTCATGTTTCATAGCTCCGTTGTGCTGCAATTAACTTGTTGCTTAGCCTATGTCCAAATTTCTGGAGGAGTTTAACTCAGGGCCATTGGAATGCAAATTTGTCACAGATGCTGAGTGTGCCACTTACATTTTTCAATAGAGCCACCAAGGATGGCAGGATGTCGCAAGCAATCAGCTGCTGGATGTGATGGCGGGGACCTGCGGCCACATTGCTCAAGGCCCAGGTTGCCTCCTTCTGGATGGACGGCTTGGGGTGCCGCAGGAGCTGGGGCAGTATATTCAGCATGCCTGCATCAATGGCCATCTGGGTCTGCTGATCTGTCCCCGTGACAATGTTCCCCACCGTGCGGAGAGAGGGAGTCTGTAAGAACAAGGGGAGAAGTTTTCGTATTGCAAATCTATCACAGGAGAAGGCAACAATCACACCTTTCTGTGGTCTTCCTTCCAAACCTTAGTGGAGCTATGCTGGTGGTTCTCTGCAACCCTGTGAATGGAGACTATGTCCGTGATCCTCACTAATTCAAGGCGCCCATGGCTGTGTTTACATAGTTTAAAGGTAATTTGCCAGCTTCCCAGGGCATTCTGGCTTGAGAAGGACAAAGGTCAAAGGGATGCCATTTTCAAGAAATACTGTTGTCCTTTTCATATGGTTTCAACTGGGAGAAATGCTAAGTTGATTAGTGTTTATCAAGCAATAATTTTAGTGTAACTCAAGGCCAACAGCATGGGTATACAGTTGGGCTCAAGATGACATCTGCCCTAGGAGGGCTGACTGGATTTATTTGGTTTTCTCTTTACTGTAGGGCAGTTCCAGTGAAACCCACCTAATATTCTAGGGTTTTCCTGGCTTATTAGACTACTTACCTACTACTCAAATGAGAGATGGAAGTGGTACTATAAGCCAATCATGGCCGCACCAGGAAGTCCCACTTGGGCCCCAAACCCTGAGTAGCTTCTTTTCTTACTCTTATCACTTTCTCTATCCCCCCAGCTCTAGCCCCAAACCAACTTTGACATCTGTGAAATACTGTGCTAGTCTCAGAATAGACGATCATTAAGTCTGCACAACATACAACATTAGGCATAGAAGCTGAGGGACGGTGGGGAGAGGAGAGTGGAGATATCTTAAATACATCCGTATTTCAAAGCAGTAGATATGTTTAATAACCTACCAGTGTTTGATAGTGGATTTCCTTGCTTTTCACCTATATCTGAGGTAGATTAAGAGAGCAAACTGGGGAGAGGATAAGAAAGAGTTCTCTTGTGTAAGAAATTTGAATGTTAGGATGAGCTCTATGCACATACACAACACACACAAACATGCATTGTAGAAGACAACTTGTTAAAGTCTATGTGCAAAGACTTCTAGAAGGAAAAGATGCAGAACTAGTTCACCCGATGGTGGGATGATAATCAATATCACTTGGTGCTTTCTGTGGTGTTTTTGGTTATCAGATTAAGAAAAAGTTACTTAACACTTACTAGAATTTTAGATCAAAGTAGATTTAAGCGTTTGGCTAGAGAGTGGCACAAACCAGGGAAATGCAGATGACGAGCTTTGTTCCAGGTAAAGGAACACAGTGTCTTTAGCAAGTTCTGTTCCCCTCACCCCAGATCTTAGAACTTGCTGAAGTGTACATGACTCACAGACTATTTGGAAGGAACCAGACTGCAGTTACCAAGACACTGAGTTCCGAGCTGGTCATGAGCTCTACCAGCCTGGGCAGGATCCCAGTGTTGACTACTTCGCCGATGCGCTCGTTGCAGCCGTCGGTGAGGTAGGATAGGGCCCAGCAGGTGTCGGAGAGAATCTCATTGTCATGGTGCTGCAGAAGTTGGGAGAGGACTGGCAGCATTTGCTTCACCGCTTTTTGGCAAGGGTAAGGGTTCTTGTTTCTGCACAGGTTGGACAAGGTCCACGTGATGTTCCGTAGAAATGTGATCTGTAACAAGGAGACTGCTTCCAGCATCAGGTGTAAAGTGAAGAAAACGCAAACAGCAGTGTGATCTTACCATCTCTGATCAATATTATTGATCAGCATGAACCAAAGCTTTTGAGCTTCAAATAGAAACTTGTTCTAGGCAGTGACGTGTATTAGGGACACAGAGAATGAGCTTTATATTCCATATTCAAATGTTAGTTGGGGGTTTCCTTGTATGCTTTTTTTTTTTTTGGAGACAGAGTCTCACTTTGCTGCCATTAGTAGAGGGTCATGGCATCATAGCTCACAGCAACCTCAAAATCCTGGGCTCAAGTAATTCTCTTGCCTCAGTTTTTCTATTTTTAGTAGAGACAGAGTCTTACCTTGTTCAGGCAGTCTGCCTGCCTCGGCCTCTCATAGTGCTGGGATTACAGATGTGAGCCACCGCGCCCAACCTCCTTGTATGCTTGAAACTATCCTTCCCCACTGTACTCAATTGATGACTTACTTTCATTTTTCTCTGACAAAAGGTCAAATAGGAGTTATTTGGTCTTCCCACCAGGCTATAATTCTACCAGCATGTCATTACTGTATATCTGATCTTCAGTTTGAGGACCAGTCTTCCTATCCTGCCTTTGGATTCAAAAGTTTGGTGACTCAATGAAGCTTCCCAATTGTTCAAGCCACTGGTTTCTGTCCCTACTTCTTTGTGATTAGTGATGGCAATCAGCTCCTTCCAGGTCACCAAACTCAGCAGCTGCTTCTCAGTCCTAAAGTTATTGTCCCTTCCAGTTGTATTTAGTAATCAGCCATTCCCTTTTGAAAAAGCCCTTCTTGGCAATCTGTGACACCAAATCTGATTTTCTATTGCCAAATGGGCTATTTCTTTTTAGTCTTCTCTGCAGGCGTTAGAGACTCCAGGACTTGATCCTGGGCCCTTCTCCCACTCTAGGTCAGAGGTTGGCAAACTTTTTCTATAAAGAGCCACATAGCAAACATTTTCAGTCTTGTAAGTTATATGGCCTCTGTTGCAACTGCTCAACTCTGTCCTTGCAGCGGCCGGCCAGGCCAGGCCAGATTTGCTGACCCTGCTCTAGCTGACCTGACCCAGCTGGCTATAAACACACACATCACCTGGACAGGCATATCTACTGTAATCGTGCCTCTAACTTGCCTCAGCATCTACAAATAATGCTCTGACTCTCTTTTCCCTCCATCCTCCCCCTTTCTCTGGGATGACAGTCATGTATCTGAGAGAGCACCCTTGCTTCCTGCTATCTCTCTTCACATCTAGCTCAGCAGCATCCCAGACCCACCTACTCCACCAACTCCCTCTGCTACCTTCCGACGATAGGCAGCTGGAAGAGACCTTCTGAAGAATCACACCACTTTATTTCCTGCCTTGAGAGCCTCCAAATTCTTCCCTTTGCCACTAGGATGAGCTCTAAGCCCTTCGCCCTTCTTGCCATCTTACACTGCTCTCTCCTTGCAAACGTGCTTGGTCATGGCTAGCCTTTTTCTGATTCTGCCATGTCAAGTGCTCCCCATCTTGAAGGTTTTACACAAGTTCCTTTTGCTTCTTCTTTTTGAAATAGAGTCTTACTCTGTCACCTGGGCTAGAGTACCATGACATCAGCCTAACTCACAGTAATCTAAAATTCTTGGGCTTAAGTGATCCTCTTACTTCAGCTTCCCAAGTAGGTGGGACTACAGGAGCCACCACAACACCCAGCTAATTTTTCTATTTTTAGTAGATGCAGAATGTTACTCTTGAGCAGGCTATTTCTGAACTCTTGACCTCAAGCAATCCTCCCACCTTGACCTCCCATTCTCTTCATTTTTGAGGCAAATTTAGAATCCAGTTCCTAAATTAGGAAGTCCTCTATTGTTGCCACATCAAGCAGTCTTGACTCTAACCCTCAAATTTTTATCCTATTAACCATGAACAGGGCTGGTGAACCATTACATCTGCCTGTATTCCTTGAATGGAGGCCTTAGTCATCTACTTGTGTAGGATGGTAAGCTTTGAAAAACCTTAATAGATGTCTTCTAATGCTCCCCCAAAGAAAGATCAGAGCTAACTGGCCCTTAAGGACAAAGGTGAGTCAATCTTTACTCAAAATGATACCCTATCCTCAGCTTTGTTTTTAAGTGCCATCACAGGGTCCAGACAGTGGCCACATGATCTATTACTGATTTAGAAGTACTTCTTCTAATTTCTTGACCTTGGAAATGTGTTACCTGGCTGAGTTTTCTCATTTGAAGACACTCACTGGTATGTTTGACGAAATCAGGGCCAGCAGATGTGGGATGGCATTACTTGAGATAACGATGTCTCTGAACTTTGAGCCATCACCTACAAATAGATCACAATTTGACATTCCAAGAGAGAACAAAGAGAATCTGGAGTGTCTAATTTTTTTTTTTTTGAGACAGAGCCTCAAGCTGTCTAGTGTCTAATTTTTTAAAGTCTATTCAAAGTATTAGATACTGAAACTCATTCTTGGGTTTGGTAAGCAAATAGTATAGCCATGTAACTAGATTCTGAGTCTTCAAGGTATCTGTTGGATACCTTGAGGTACCTTGAAGGGGGCAGTCCTTATATGACACACTGGTATCACAGTAGCAATTTTTATAAGCAGAGGCTATGGTCATGAAGGATTCAGCCAGCTTGGCCCATTGGCCCACTCTAAACATCAGAGGCATCTCACAGCGTGGTTCTCAGGAAGATGAAGGCTAGCGCAGATCAAGCTGTCTTCCCAGAAGACTTTGACATGGGGCAGTAACTTCCCAATGTGACTCAAAATAAAGCCTAGAGTTAGATAGGTGCTGTCAGTCAACCATCTGCTGCTTTGGGTAGGAGACAACCTTAGACTCTGGAAGTTTCAGTTCTTATTCAACCATCAAGGCAAAGGTAAGTCACACCATATAACCCAGTCTTGCCTGTTCCTTACTAAACCAACTGAAATGAGAGACGATGTCTCTATTAGGTGCTTTCCTTCTGCAAGCATTTTTAAAAGCACTTAGTTATTTTGTCTTCTGTTTGCTAATTCTAATATCTGAAGTCCTTGGAGGGCTTTATTTCTGCTGACTCAGTTATGGGTTGTTGCTTCTCTGAGCTTGCAATTGCTAATATTTGACTGATCTTAATTTGTTCAAATCCTGAGGGTCCCAAAAAGTTTTTCTCAGAGAGCCACAGGATGTATGTCAGCCAGGAATCCAGGAGTTTTCAATCCCATAGCACTAACTTTGTAGCTGTGGTGCTTTTTCAGACCATGCAGGGAATATAGCATCAAGCCCCAAATTCATAAGTGGGGGATCTTAGGATTATGTTTTCAGGGAAGACATTTTTTATATGTTCCCTTTAGAGTCCTTTTAGGGCCCTAGGATATGTAAGGATCTATCATAAACCCCTATGTTGTATGGGTCAAAGTCTTGTCTTTCCCCTTGCCCTGAGCCACAAGTCCCAGAGGCTGCAGGACCCTGGTATTGGCAAATGCAACCCATAGCTTCAGGATGCCCTGAATCATCTGGTTTCAGCTTCAATTTTTTGGCTTTTGAACTTGGCTCTAATTTTGAAATAGTTTCCTGTATCTTTTCCAGCACTTCTAGATATTTATACCAAGGTTTCTAGAACATCGAATATATTATACTACACTAAGAACCCTTACCCGGCTGCATGCCTGGCCCATTGTTTCTTAGCCTACTGGGGGAGAGTCTCACCAGCTATATTGCCAAGAGCCCACACAGCCTGTTCACACACAATCATGTGGGTGGAAGACAGGAGCTCAACCAACGGCTGGACAGCGCCCCCTTCCACGACTGCTCGGGTCTGCTCTGAAGTCCCTGAAGCAATGTTGGTCAGAGCCCAGGCTGCTTCAAACTGCAAGCAGGGATAAAGTGATGACTTCAGAAACTCCACCAGCCGAGGAATGAGCCCAGCTTCAACAACCAATTTTAGAGGGGGGTTTCTTTCCCAGGACAGCATTTTCCTATGTAATGAAAGAAAGAAGAGGGGAAAGGTCATGTGAGGGAGATATTAAGAACCTCCTTTATAGATGGTTTTGGCATTCCTAACTATCAGATGAAATAAACCAGAGCTAACTAATGTCTCAGGGTTCAGCCTATAGCATTTTGCCCTGATAAGGCAATGTTTTCCCCCTTTAGATATTATCTGCAAGCTGAAATTCTTGTAGAGGCCAATGTAAATTAAGCAATTCATCTCTGACAACACACTGCATCGTTTAAATTGCCTTTGAGGATAGTGTGGAATAGCAATTTTGGCTTACTTTTGAATGGACTAGCCTTTTCCTGTGTTTTATGGGCATTTTGCCAAAGTCAAGAAACCAAATAGGCCATTGGAGCTCATTTTCTAGCTATGAAACTATAAGCAGCAGAACTATGTTTGGAGATACCTGGCTTCCTGGGTGGCCTGGAACCTCAGGATGGGATCTGAGCTATTCACACCTTTGATTATTTCACTCAGAGTGAGGCTGACCTGTAAGGAAAGACACATTCAAGTCACATTCTCCGCCAAAATGAATGGTAAACATCACCTAGTCTACTCATTCATCTGATTAAAACAGGCTGGCTTGTACATGATGCCCCATCTCTAGATTAGGGGAAGGAAGAACATTTGGGGACCATAGTTCTCACAGATCTGTAGGATACTCTTCATGCTTGTGGGAGAAATAATTCCTATCATCACTTATATCCTTAGCATCTTTTTATCCTGTACAATAAGAACATGTTGGAGGATATCAGTAAAAATAGCAGAATATGAACCTTCAAAAATTCTCTCCTCTATAAATCAGTGAGAAAGCTGACAAAAATTGCCAGAATCAACTTTTAAGAACAATAGACATTAACTAAAGCTTTGTAGCAATTTATTTTTTTCAATCTAGAAAGTGTTTATTCAGGAAAAACGGCTGAATCTTAGTAATAATAGTGAGAGCTTTATGGCATTTTGACTTACTTTATTCCCACCCACCCTCAGCTCCACAGAAGTCTTGAAAACAGTCCATTTTTCAATCATTGTGAAAAATCAACAGCCTAGCAGTCACTAGAAGAGGCAGAATGGGTAGGTACTCCTTTAAAGCTTTATTTCTAGAAAATTAGTAGTTGACCCATCTTGAAGTTTCTTAAAAGACCCCACTTGTAAGAATCTTTTATTTGACTCAGAGCTCACCCAACATGAAAAGCCTTTTCCCTAAGAATGTTTGTTGAAAACAATTAGAGGAAGTTGTTTAACATCATAGTTACCTGAGAAGGTTGGATAACAGTTGGAACAAATAGGCCTACCAAAAATTTAAGAGGAAAAGCTGGGGAATGAGATGTTCATTAGGGCTTTGAAAGGTCTGACTTAGACCATGTGAATGTAGGACTAAGCACATGCTCAAAAAAACTGAGAAGACCTTGACCTCTTGCTTTTGGCTGACCTTGAGGCTCTGTGCAAACAGAAAGTGAAGGCTTAAGGTAAAGTGGTCAACTGCCTGGCTGAGTGTTAAAGGCATGCCCCTACATGCCTTCTTGACAAATATTAGTGAGCTTCATGGCAAAAATTGGTGTTTTTTCTTTTTGTTCCAAGTGTCAGTCTCTGTCTAATCATTTTTATTATTTGACTACTAATGTAAACTGCACAGAGACTTAGTGGATACACATGACAAAACCCATATATTTTACAGAATTAGTTCAGAAGTCACAGAACAAACACTACTACCCAGCAACAACAACAAACACTGGGGTAAGGGGGTATCTCATATTCAGAGTTATCATGCTAATTTATTTATTTTATTATTATTTTTTTTTGAGACAGAGTCTTGCTCAGTTGCCCTGGAGTTGAGTGCTGTGCCATCATAGCTCACAGCAACCTCAAACTCTTGGGTTCAAGTGATTCTCTTGCATCAGCCTCCTGAACAGCTGGAATTACAGGTATCTGCTACAACACCCAGCTCCTTTTTAGAGATGGGGGCTCTCTCTTGCTCAGGCTGGTCTTGAACTCATGAGCTCAGGCAATCCACCTGCCTCAGCCTCCTGGAGTGCTAGGATTACAGGTGTGAGCCACTGCACTTGGCCCTATTTATTTATTCTTGAGACAGAATCTCACTCTGTTGCCCTGGGTAGAGTGCTGTGGCAGCATAGCTCACAGCAACCTCAAACTCTTTGGCTCAAGTGATCCTTTTGCCTTAGCCTCCTGAGTACCTGGGAGTACAGGTACCTGCCATGACGCGTGGCTAGTTTTTTCCTACCTTTAGTAGAGTCAGGGTCTTGCTCTTGCTCAGGCTGGTCGTAAACTCCTGAGCTCAAGCAGTCTATCCACCTCGACCTCCCAGATTGCTGGGATTACAAACATGAGCCACTGCACCTGGCCACTACATTATTTTAAAGGATTAGTTTTCAGCAAAGAAATTGAGACATGCAAAGAAATAAATATGACATACCCATATATACATGGGAAAAAAGGAATCAATAGAAATGGCCTGTGAGGCCCACATGTTGGACTTAGGAGACAAAGACTTACATATGTTCAAAGAACTACTACAAAGTTCTGAAATCATGATTAAAGAACTAAAGGAAAATATCAGAATAATGTCTCACCAAATGGAGAATCAATGAACAGAAAGAAATTATTAAAAGGAGCCAGATAGAAATTGTGAAATTGGACAATACAATGACTGAAATGAACAATTCAATAAAGGAGATGAACAGTAGATCTGAGCAGACAGAACGAAGAATCAGTGATGTTGAAGATAGGTCAATTAAAGTTTTCCAGTCTGAGGAAGATGAAGGAAAAAGAAAATTAATAGATCTTTAGAGATCTGCAAGACACCATCAAGCATACCAATATATGCATAATAGGAAAGAAGAAAGGGGCAGAAAGTATGTTTGAATAATGTCCCCAAATCCCCAAATTTAATGGAAGATTTAATCTACATATCTGAGAAGTTCTATGAACTCCAAATAAGATAAATCCCAAGAAATCTACAGCTAGACACATCATAAACTGTAGAAAGCCAAAAACACAGAATCAAAAACATTGAAACCAGAAAAAAAAAAAAAAAGCAGCACATGTACAGATTCAATAAAATTGATAACTGATTTTTCATCAGAAAGCATCAAGACCAGAAAGCAGTGAGATGTTATATTGAAAATCATGGGGGGAAAAAAAAAGGAAAAATAAAAGACTATGCAAAATCTTAAGGAGAAAAAAAGGAAAAATAAAATATTATTCAAAATCTTGAGGGAAGAAAACACTGTCAACCAAGAATTTTACATCCAGTAAACTATCATGATAAAATGAAGGTGATGTTAAGACATTCCAAAATAAAGAAAATGTCATCATTCCTGAAAATCTCATCAGGAAGAGTAACACCCTATTCTTAACCAAAAATAGAAAAACTTAGCTGGTGTGGTGGTACACTACTTGGAAGGCTGAGGCAGAAGGATCACTGGAGCCCAAGAGGTTAAAGTTGTAGTGAGCTATGATCACACTTCTGCACTATAGTGGAACAGATCAAGACTGTTTCTGAGGAACAGATCAAGACTCTGTCTAAAAATCAAACCAAAATAACAACAACAACCACCAAAAACAAAACAAACAAACAAAAAAAACCCTAGGTACTGGGATAACTGGATAGCCACATGCAAAAGAATGAAGTTGAGCCCCAGCTCATACCCATTTACAAATATTAATTCAAAGTGAATTAAAGATCTAAACATAAGAACTAAAATTATAAAATCGTTAGAAAGAAACCCAGGCATAAATTTTTGTGACCTGAGATTAGGCAGTGCATATACCTAAAACACAAACAACCAAAGAAAAATATAGATAAACTAGACTTTTCCAAAATTAAAAATTTTTATGCTTCTAAGGATACAATTAAGCCAATGAAAAGATAACCCACAGAATGAGAAAAAATATTTGCAAATCTTATCTGGTAATGGCCTAGTATCTAGAATACATAAAAAACTCTTACAACTCAATAAAAAGACAAATTACTTGACTCAAAAAATAGGTAAAGGGTTTGAATAAATATTTCTCCAAAGAGGATATACAAATAGCCAATAAGCCATGAAAAGATCACTATCATTAGTCATTTAGGAAAACATATCAAAATCACAACATAGTCCTTGGTACCCACTAGACAGCTATGTTTTTAAAAATGGCCAATAGCAAGTATTGCTAAGAATGTCAAACTGTACAATGGTGCAACCACTTTCGAAAACAGCTTGGTAGCTGTTAGTTTCCTATTGCTGCTGTAAAAACTACCACAAACTTAGTGGGTTAGAACATCACCAACTTGGCTGGGCATGGTAGTGCATGCCTGTAATCCTAGTGCTCTGGGATGCCAACTGCTTGAGGTCAGGAGTTTGGGACCTGAGCAAGGTCCCAAGCCTGAGCAAGAGTGAAACCCCATCTCTAAAAATAGTCAGGCATTCTGGCAGGCACCTGTAGTCCCAGTTACTTGGTAGGCTGAAGCAAGAGAATCACTTGAGCCCAAGAGTTTGAGGTTGCTATGATCTATGATGCCATGGCTCTCTACCAAGGGCAGCAAAGTAAAACTCTGTCTCAAACAAAACAAAACAAAACAAGGGGTTAACAGAGTTGGTTCCTCCTGGAAGATCTGAGAGGACAATCATTTCTTTGCGCTTTTTAGCTTCCACTAGGAACACCTATATTCCCTGGCTTGAGGCCCCTCCCTCTACCTTCAGAACCCGTCATGCTAATTATGCTAACTTCTGCTTTCATGTGGCTTCCTGCTCTGATTCCTCCCTCAGCCTTCTGATAAGAAACATCCTTGTTATATCAGGCCCACCCAGATAGCCCAAGATACTCCCCCCCCCATCTCAAAATCCTTAATCACATATTTGAAATTCCTTTTATCATAAGATAACAGGTATAGGTTCTGGGGATTAGAAGATATAGACATTTATAGGAGCCACTGTCCAGCCTATCACAGAGTTAATCAAAATTAGCAGATAACCCAGCACTTCTACTTGTAGAGGTAGACACAATGGAATTGAAAACATGTTCTCACAAAAACTTATACAGAAATGTTAACAGCATAATCATAATAGCCAAAGAGTAGAAACAACCCAAATATCCACCATCTAATAAATAAACAAAATGTGGTCTATTTATACAATGGAATATTATTCAGCCAAAAAGAATTGATATTGATACATGCCACAACATGAAACTTAAAAAATCATTACTTTGAGTGAATGAAGCTACATTCAAAAGTTTACATATCATATGATTTCATTTATATAAAATGTCTAGAATAGGTTAATCCAGAGAGACAGAAAGCAGACTATTATTTGCCAGAGGCTTCAGGGAATGAGGAATGGGGAGAGGTTGCTCAATAAAGGGTGCGGGGGTTTCTATTTGAAGTGGTGACTCTGTTCTGGAATTAGCTAGTGGTGATGGTCATACAACTTTATGAGTATAATAGAAACCTCTGCTTATATACATTACTTTTTTTTCCTTTTATTAAGTCATATACACATAGATCGTGAATACACTTATGCATTTGTGGGGCACAATGTGTTGATTTTTTATACAATTTGGAGTGCTTACATCAAACTAATCAACATAGCTTTCATCTCATTTACTTAATTATGTTAAGACATTTATGTTCTATTCTTGATAGATTTGACTTGTACCCTTGCAATATGCTTCATAGGCGTGGTCCCACCATTTACCCTCCCTCTCTCAAATGTCCCCCCTCCCATCCCATCCCCCTCAATCTCTCTCCTTCATCCTGAGCTGTAGTTGTGATCTATCTTTCATAAGAAAGTATGAGTAATTATAAATTGGTTTCATAAAAGTACTGAGTACATTGGATACTTTTTCTTCCATTCTTGAGATACTTCACTAAGAAGAATATGTTGCAGCTCCATCCATGTAAACATAAAAGAGATAAACTCTCCATCTTTTTTTAAAGGCTGCATAGTATTCCATGGTATACATATACCACAATTTATTAATCCATTCATGGGTCGATGGGCACTTGGGCTTCTTCCATGACTTAGCAATTATGAATTAAGCTGCAATGAACAATCTGGTGCAAATATCTTTGTTACAAGTGATTTTTGGTCTTTTGGATATGTACCTAGTAGAGGAGTTGCAGGATCAAACGTCAGGTCTACTTTTAGATCCCTGACTATTCTCTAAACTTTTTTCCAAAAGAGACATATTAGTTGATTCCCACCAGCAGTGCAGAAGTGTTCCCTTTTCTCCACAACCACACCAACATCTGTAGTTTTAGGATTTTGTGATGTGGGCAACTCTTACTGGAGTTAGACGATATCTCAAAGTGGGTTTGATTTGCATTTCTCTGATGATTAAAGATGATGAGCATTTTTTCATGTGTCTGTATACCATGTGCCTGTCTTCTTCAGAGAAGCTTCTGTTCAAGTCTCTTGCCCACAGTAAAATTGGATCATTTGTTCTTTTATTAATAAGTTTGAGTTCTCTGTGGATTCTGATTATCAGACCTTTGTCAGAAACATAACCTGCAAATATCCTCTCCCATTCTGAGAGCTGTCTACTTGCTTTGCTTTACTTACTGTGTTCTTGGCAGTGCAGAAGCTTTTTAGTTCGATCAGATTCCAGTAATGTATTTTTGGTGTTGCTTCAATTGCCCTGGGGGTCCTACTCATAAAGTATTCTCCCAGGCCAATTTCTTCAAGTGCTTCCCCTGCACTGTCTCCAAGAATCTTTATAGTTTCTTGTCTTAAGTTTAAGTCTTTTATCCAGTGAGAGTTAATTTTTGTTAGAAGAAAAAGGTGTGAGTCCAGTTTCAGTCTTCTACAAGTCACTAGCCAGTTCACCCAGCACCATTTGTTAAATAGGGAATCTTTCCCCCAATTTATATTTTTAATAGGCTTATCAAAGATTAGATGATGATAAGTATCTGGGTTCAACTCTTGGTTCTCAATTCTGTTCCATACATTTACCTCTCTATTTTTGTGCCAGTACCATGCTGTTTTGATCACTATAGATTTATAGTATAGTCTGAAGTCTGGTAATGTGATACCTCCTGATTTGTTCTTATTTATGAGTAATGTCTTGGCTATTTGAGGTTTTTCTGTTTCCACATAAAATGAAGTACTAGTTTTTCCAGATCTTTAAAATATGACTGAGGTGCTTTGATAGGGATTGCATTAAATCTGTAGATTGCTTTGGGTAGTATGGACATTTTAACAATGTTGATTCTTCCCAGCCATGAGCATGGTATGTTTTTCCATTTGTTAATATCTTCAGGTATTTCTTTTCCTAGAGTTTCATAGTTCTCTTTATAGAGATCTTTCGTATCCTTTGTTAGGTATGCTCCCAGATATTTCATCTTATTTGGCACTACTATAAAAGGAATAGAGTCCTTGACTTTTTTTTTTTTTAGTTTGACTATTGTTGGTATATATAAATGCTACTGATTTGTGAATATTTTGTATCCTGAGATGCTGCTGTATTCCTTGATCACTTCTAAGAGTTTTGAAGTTGAGTCCCTGGGGTTTTCCAGGTATACAATTATATCATCTGCAGAGTGAAAGTTTGATCTCCTCTGATCCTATATGCATACCCTTGATAGCCTTCTCTTGCCTGATTGCAATGGCTAGGACTTCCACTATAATATTAAAAAGCAGTGGAGACAGTGGGCAACCTTGTCTGGTTCCTGATCTGAGTGGGAATGTTTTCAATTTTACTCCATTCATTATAATATTGGCTGTAGGTTTGCTGTAGATGGCCTCTATCAATTTAAGAAATGCCCCTTCTGGGTGGCGCCTGTGGCTCAATGAGTAGGGTACCTGCCCCATATACCCAGGGCGGCAGGTTCAAACCACCCCTGGCCAAACTGCAACCAAAAATAGCCTGGTGTTGGGGTGGACACCTGTAGTCCCAGCTACTCAGGAGCCTAAGGCAAGAGAATTTCCTAAGTCCAAAGAGCTGAAGGTTGCTATCAGCTGTGACACCATAGCTCTCTACTTAGAGTGATAAAGGGAGACTCTGTTTCTAAAAAAAAAAGAAAGAAAGAAAGAAAGAAAGAAATGTCCTTTCTATACTTATTTTCTTAAGTGTCTGATCATAAAAGTATGCTGGATATTGCTTATATACTTTAAAGGGATGAATTTTGAGGTATATGAATTATATCTTAATTTTTTTTTTTTTTTACATAGAGTCTCACTATGTCACCCTCAGTAGAGTGTTGTGGCATCACAGCTCACAGCAACCTCAAACTCTTGGGCTTAAGCAATTCTCTTGCCTCACCCTCCCAAGTAGCTGGGACTATAGGCGCCCACCACAATGCCTGGCTATTTTGGTTTTGTGTTTCATCATTGTTGTTTAGCAGGCCCAGGCTGGGTTTGAACCCACCAACCCCAGTGTATGTGTAGCTAACCACTGAGCTACAGACACCAAGCCAATATATATCTTAATTTTTAAAAACTGCTAATACAGTATAATACTTTTTTTTCATTGTTTTATTTCATACTTTCCTCTAGTGGCAGGAATCCTAGGGACTAATCTAGCAAAATAAAGCTAACCAGAGTTATGGTTCAGATTCTTATAGTGATTCAGGGAATAACTGTACCCATTTCATTTCATGAACGGTAATACATCATTGGCGCCACCTGGCAAAATGGAAGCACTGTGCCTTCCAAGAGCCCTGAGTGTAGCAGGGTAGAAAGGATGAATGTGGATAGTTAAGGTAGGACACGCTCATCACTGCACTCCATAGAACATGTAGATGTAAAATTATTGAAGTGCTAAAAAGGAAACTTTCTGGTCGGGGCCTTCAGGATTCACAGAAACAGGATTGGCCTTGAAGTCAATCCAGGATCTGTATTTAGTGGGGCTAGGACAGATGGAGAAGGGAAGACAGAGGACACATTCAAAGACTTAGGAAAGACTTCACATGGCTGGAGACTAATTTCCTCCACTGAGAAACAACCTTCACAACCCTCATTTCCTGAGTTTCTAGGCTTATAGGTAACAAGTGAATTTTCAATAGAAGTCATATCTTCTCTATCCCATCAGAGGATAGGTCCCACTAACTCATGGCCACGAGAGTAAGGACACTTTTGACAGAGATAATTTAGCCTGAACTATAATCTCTTTCCCCTTCTGTTTAAAGACCCAAAATTAGAGTTTACAAGTTCTGAATATATGTAATGTCTTCAAAGTAGAGAACCTTGTTGAGAACATATTCTGCACACAACTGCTCTAAACACCACATACTGACCGACATCTCTTCGGCCAGATTTTCAGAAGCTGGGTCATGGGAGAAACTGACGATATTTCTTCTTTTGAAAGTTTGCTCATCTTTCTTGACCTTCCGGAGCTTTTGGCTGACCACAATCCGCTGTTGCCGCCTCATCTAAAGAAGAAAAGAAAAGAATTGGAGCATTTAGAGCCAGGAACCCGGATACCACTACATTTAGTCTTTTGAAACATGTTTCAAAGCATCTAGTTTCATTTTGCAGATATGATAGGCTGGAAGGGTTCAGATCATACAGTCATCTCAGCTATGCTTACCTCCTCTGCTTTCTGTGACTGTACCACATCTACAAACTGATTCAATCTTCCTGCCAAAGTAAAGAGAGGCCACGTGCACGTGGCATTCCCACTGGACAGTCTTGGATTCTTGGCCATAAGAACATCTTAGCAAAGTATCCTGTCGCCCTGAGTCTGAGCTCATCTCCATTGATGTTGATCAACTCCTGAAGAGTACAACTGCTTCCTGGTTAGGCCTTGAGTTTCCAGTGAAGCTAGACAGGTGGTACTGGGGACAATCAGAGGCCCACCAGCCCTGACCATTGCCACTGTTAATGAAATCAGTCTGTAGGACATTTAAACCTTTTTTTCTTTTTTTTTTTTTGAGACCAAGTCTCATTTTGTCACCCTTGGCAGAGTGCCATGGCATCCTAGCTCAGAGCAACTTCAAACTTTTGACAGCTCCACAGCCAGAAAGCTATACAAAGCTATGCACAGCTATTGCTGTGAGCTGTGACAACCATAGCACTCTACTGCAGGTGATAAAGTAAGATTCTGCCTCTAAAAAAAAAATCAAGCCCATGAGGAATTTTGTACCTTTGTCTTTTCATTTCTTATCCAATGGCCTGGATTCCTTTAATGTGCAGGGGCCTTAGAAGCAAGACTGCCGGCTCAGCGCCTGTGGCTCAAGTGGCTAAGGCGCCAGCCACGCACACCCAAGGTGGCGGGTTTGAATCCAGCCTGGGCCCACCAAACAACAATGACGGCTGCAACCAAAAAATAGCTGGGCGTTGTGGC